GCATAGCGAAGTAAAGCACTGCGTTTTACATAATTTCTGAGTAAGCTATTCGTACGAATTGAAATATTCTTGCATTTAAATTGTGTTCCAATTAAGATTTAACTTGAAATTAATGTAGATAATTACTGAGAGCATTAGATTTTTGTAGAGTAGTTTACGTAAGATGAGATCGCTTGGGGTCACGTGATATGAACCGGCGAATCAGAATGTTGAACCATAGTAAATTCTTTATTAATTTTTTACAAAATTTGTTGTCTTTATTTATTGGCTTTTATAAAATTTTAAGCGATATTAAAATGTTATGTCTTCTTTTTAAAAAGAATTCTTAGAACTAACATATTTTAAATATTTTTTATGTGTATACTGTATGTTGTCGCCAATAAAGTCTGCTTGGCGAGATTTGCGCCGGCGAAACGGAAAAGTACCAGAATGGTCTATGTTTTCATGGTTCAACATTCTGATTCGCCGGTTCATATCACGTTACCCCCAAGCGATCTCATCTCACGTAAACTACTCTACAAAAATCTAATGCTCTCAGTAATTATCTACATTAATTTCAAGTTAAATCTTAATTTGGAACACAAGTTTAAATGCAAGAAATATTTGAATTCGTACGAATAGCTTACTCAGAAATTATGTAAAACTGCAGTACTTTACTTCGCTAATACATTCTCATTATAATTGATGAATTTAACCCTTGACTTTACCTTTTCTATATTTTCAGCTTCGGGTAAGCCCTGAAATTGCATCCTAATTGACTTAATTACCGAAAATGGCCTTAGACATAAAACTGAACTGTCTGATAAAAATTCTATATAATTATATGCAAGTATTGAAAGAAACAATCAATCTGATAAGAGAAGCTGGACTTGTTTTCAAAATGAGGCGTAAAAGGTTACCAGCGAGAATATTCCATTTGGCATTGGTTGTGCCATTATTGGCGACTTTATCGCTTGCGCCGGCAAAACGGAAAAGTACCGAAAGTAATAATAGCCTTACTTTAGTACTTTATACTCATAGTAAATGTATTTATTTACACTTGCCTGCCATCTTAAAAAACGACATTTTCAACAAAAATTAATCTATTACTTTTTAACGATATTTATTTATTTATTTTTTTTTAAGTTTCGAATACTTTACTATGCGTAAAAACAGCGTTTTTCAAAATGGCTGACGATTGTAAAAATCGCGCCAACGTAAATCGCCAAAATCCGTGCAACCGTCTACCAAAGTAGCACCAACCGCCGTTATGTGAACAGAATAGTAAAATGAGATGATAAAATACTAGATAAGTAAAAGCTTAACATAACATAACATCTATGTAATTCATGATAAAATAGCATAATGAATAATAAAATAATAAATTGTGTAACACTTTCCTTGAACACCAAAATTGTCAACCAAGTAAATATATTCAAATTCACTAACAACGGATGCATCATAAACACACTAAACAACTTTCGTTCAAAACTTTTCCACATCTTTCTATTGCCACATGCAAGAAACTGACCTGGGAAGCATTAACTAAATAAAATTAAATGAAAAATTCATAAATTATAAAAATATAATAAAAAATTCCCAAATTAACTTCACGTCATCTGAAATCCAACCTTCTAACACCAACAACAGCTTAACCTCCTGCAAATATTAAACGGTAAAACTTTTAAAAACAACACAGTATTTCAAAATTAAATTAAAAAGAAAAATCTTCTGGCTACACTAAAGTCGCACTCATTACAAGCACCGAAATAATAATAGAGTTTGCCACAGGAAAGCGTAAAGCCGGAAACCACAACCAAATCAAAATCGCGCCAAAATAAACCAAGTTTGGAGTTCGCACCGATTAAGGAAGATTAACCTGTATTTTTACTATGGATTCTTTAAAAGCTAAGCGCTCTCAGTACCGAAGGTTGTTTAGTAGCGCTTTAAACAGTTTTGAGAAAGATGAAAATAATTTAACTAAGAGTAAAAAAATTATATAAATAATTTGATTAATTAGAAGCTTATATAGATAAACGGAGAATAATAGAAAATGAGCTAGCTAACTTTTTAAATGAGATCAGCAGTTTAATGCTGCTGATATGATTGTTTCGCAAAATACAATTCTTCGTTATCCAAAACTTAAATTGCCGACTTTTGACGGTAATGTATTGTAATTTGGATAATGATGACAAGTTTGCATATTTATTACAATTTATTGAAAAAAGATCACTTGCCGAAGAGTTAGTTAAAAGTTTTCTTCTGGGGGTGATAGTTACAAAAAAGCTTTTTAATTACTTTTTTGGTATAGAAGACATTCATATAGAAGTTTGTGAGAGAGCTTCTCTCTTTAATGCTGTAAAAGAATTCGAATCACAAATTTTGTTTGAGAAAATTGTATGACAATTTAGAATCAAAACTTCGCGTGGTAGAGGTTCTTGGAGTTGTCAGAGATAAATATGCAGCTAAGTTGTACTCATTTGTAGAATCGCCATTACCTGATGATACTTTTCGGGCGTTGCGGATATTTAGATCATTTATTCGTGACCACAGAGAGATAGAAGCAAAAGAGGAAAATTATAATAAAAGGGAAAAAGAATAGATACATCGCTTCGACTTAAGGCCTCATTCAATTGAAACATTTAGTGATCGTTAGTCGTGATACGTGATTGGCTTTGGTATTTTGCTTGCTGTTTTGCTTGAAGCACAATGGTCACTCTGAGCTCGCGATCGATCATTCTCGTAGCGATCACTCCGAACTCATCATTCCGCGGCGAAAAACGATCGAATCAATATGGCGGCTATGTTGTTTGTGGTTTCACGAGGGCAGAATTCAAGTGTGCTAAGGAAAATGCTACTGAGGGAGCAGCAATTTATATCAAAGTATAGGATGCATAAGGATCAGCCCGATGCTATTTGCACCACCGGTGAGATTAGCCGCTTAAGCTATTCGCACCAACATTAACGACGCATGCGCATTGAGTTGTCAAAGGGCGGGTTTCTATCTTGGCGTAGTTTATCATTTTTTAAGCGTTGGCGACTTTCAAAAGTTTAGAAAGGAAAATGGGTTCCTTTTCTTATAAAAAGAAGGAACACATTTCCTTTTATTAAAGTATATATAAAAAAAGGCAGACTTTTATGTTCGCAATGTTTATCCTTTTCCTGAACGGTTTGAATAGTTTAAATGACTGATTTGAAGGGGGGGGGCAAAATCGTGTTGACATTTTTTGTACGTCTTAGAATACATTTAGCTTTAAAGATGTGTTTTGCGCAATCAAGCCTTTAAACAATATATCACCGAAGAAAAAATACTGGAATGGTAAAAAAAACTAAGATTCAAATGTTTTAAAATGACCACTGTTTTCTTTTGTCTTCCTGGCGCTAATGCTGCAGCTGAGCGAGTATTTAGCATTGCGAACAGGTTTTGGACTGGTGATAAGCCATAGCTTAAAGCGGACACTTTGAAGGATATGTTAATAACCAAAATAAATTTTGATGAAAATTTCACGGACTTTTATAAGGAAATCAAAGAAGAAAAAGATGTTCTAAGAAATACTCATGCTTCAGAGAAATATAAGATTACTTCGTTAAAATAATTTAGAAGGTTTAAATTTATTATTTTGTTTAAAAATGAATACTGCATTTTGATTTTTTCTTCATTTATTAAAAATATATCGCTATTAAAAATAAAATAAAAATTATTCATTTTGAATTATATATATATATTGACCTACACACCACTTCCACCAGAATAACAATAATAATAAAATAATTTATTTGTAAAAAATATTTAATAAATTTTATATATATATACTATATAGCGTCTCAAATTTGGAACTTCAAAAATCTGGTCACCTTATATAAGTGATGCCAATTTAAGCTAAGTCTTAAGTGATGCCAATTTTTACATTCTATTTACATATAATATATACCCATTTCTCAGGTTTTTTTTCTGCTATTGTTCTATGTACAAAGAGATATGTTTTCACTCAAAAACATCACAGAACTACATAAATTCGGCATAATCTCGGCACCAAAATCCCAAAAGGAGAGAGAAAAAATAGGCGTATGATGTCTTAAGGCAACCACATTACGCTCTATGAGTGTAGAAAGCTAAGTCCGAAATGTCGCTGAAGAAGACGAAAATTGCACAATGCAGTCCACCACTATCCTAAAAGATTGAAATTTTCGTAGGAGAGAATCTAATCTACTGTTATACTGGTGAAAATATCGGAAAAGTGGGAAACTATCTGAGTGTAAGCCGTACGCATACCTTAGTTACAACTTTGGCGGCATCGTGGGTTGCCGTATAAACACTCTTCGGCGACATAGTGCGTTGTCTCTATACAATTATGCTTCTCTTCGGTGCGGATACGGGTAGTCGGAAAGTACCACAATTTTTCTCGAAGCTACCAGAAGAGTTATGCAACCCTATATACGGCTGTATTCAGTCGCTGATTCAATTTTCCCTCCCCTGCATTGGTGAGAATTAAAATTCCAGTTATCACAGTCAGATCCTTTATTGAATTCCTTGATTTATTTTAGTATGTGCAATCAGCGATAATCTAGCATGCACAATATGTATCAAGACATCAAGGTCTAACATAATAGATCAAGACATCAAGGTTAGTCCAGTAAATTAAACACTTCAGTTCGGCTGTATAGACTTTGGTTTCTAATTGATTTTCCTGATATTCCTCCCGTTTTAAGGAGAAGTGACTTTATCTCTGTTGTTTACTTTAAAGCTAATTTAGAATTATTTACCTAGAAGCTATTATTTACTTCAATAAAATGTTTATTTCTTCCTGTTCATCTGGCTAAGTTATTAAGGAGTTATTAAGTCTAGTTATTAAGGAGACTTCAACTGAAAGATTCTGGGGTATACAATATTATTAATCGTATCATTTCGAATGAATTAAACTTTCGGTTTGCAATCGATTTTCGAGGGAAAAAAAAAAAAAAAAAAAGAAAGAAAAGGAAAGAAACGGACTGCAGCATTTTTTAAAATTACAATTAATGTACAGGTTTCAGTAAAATGCATTTATTGCTGTTATTTACAAGAAACTAATGCAAATTATAATACACTCATAAGATTCAGGAAAAAAATTGAGGTATGGCATTCTTATAAAAAATTTTGATGAAAAACTCGCTCTTTTTTATTTAGTATATAACTGTTAAACTTTCAGTGTGGATCTCAAGATTTGTTTTGATTTGCTTCTAAAAGTTTCCTTTTAACAAATTTTGTGCTTTGTGTTGTTCTAATTTTCGTGGACTTTTAAGAACGCTAGCAGAAAAATCTCGTTCGCTGTTTGAAAAGGAGTAGTTTTCTGTACTAGTCCATGAACAGGAACTGTAACCAGTATATCTCCTTTCATTCACAGGACTGCTTTCTTCGTCATCAGACTCCATTGGCTGGTTTTCAACACTACCGTCTTTCTTCAGCAAATAAGGACCAAGACCATTCATAAGCGCTGCTCCAAGTGGCGCGGTTAGTATAATGGAAATAACTGACATCATCAAAACCTGTCAAAAGGCAAACGCTTTTAAGAATATAAAACGTTTCTTTCATTTTGTTTAATGCTACAGTGAGTGCACTGTAGTTTAAATAGAATATGAACACGGCATAAATAAGTAATGTTCTTAAATTTTACTGATTCTCAGCACGCACACAGACACACATATATATGTATATGCTGGAAAACTTTTATATATTGTTGCATGCGTACGGGTTCGTAATAGATTGAATGCACAAGTCTGATGAAAAGTTAATAAAATTTATTCTTATCACAAGAAATAAAACAAAATGCTGAAATGTTTCCTCGCAGATATTCGTACAATATCAAAATATCACATGGTAGGTATATTTTAAATTACTAAAATGTTAAATTGAACACAATTCAAAACAGAGAGAGCTAATCCGATTTCAAAATTACAGCATCTAAGTAAACAACAACTTAGCAAACAACTGAGTTGAGATGTTCTCTCTCTGGCTTTTACAGCTTTTTAAATCGGCCGCACGAGAGAGTTCTAGTAATTTCTCGAAAGCAAAAAGCGTAGAATTACGCTTACAGTTAACATCGTAGTCAATTACAGAGATAAACTTTTATTAAATCTTAAATGCACGTGCTCTTGTATTTTAATTTTTACGGCGTAGCTTTCTCTTAAAATTCGTCATTGCACGGGAAAATAAAAAATAATTTTAATTACAGTTCTACTTGTTAACTTGTTTCACAGTTCCGAGATTCTCTTTACCTCTCATATACTATTGAGCTGAAAAATTAACTTTCTTCAGATGGTACAACGGATAATTTAATATGGGTTAAAATCAGAAAGTACTAATATTTGACTTTATATTAGCAGCAACTGCCGAAGGATGGCCACCACAAAATTAAATAAATATTATTTTCTCTCGTTCACTGCCGTTTGTCATTTTTTGATGGTTACCTCTAATTTTTGCCAAATTATTTTTTTTAATTTTGCCCAAGTGTTTGTTGTGGCAGCTTTAGCAAGGAAGTACCACTGCAATTATGACGAAGAATAAAATTTTAATATTTAGTTACTCTATCAGAGCAGGACTTTAGGAAATAAAATATTTTTTCATTATACATAAAAGATTTTGTTTCAAAATATTGCAATTTGATAAATAACATATATTTTACTGTAGAAGAATGACAGCTGAATGTGCATAAAAACGTTGAATTGAAAAGTATTTGAAGTTTTTTTCTTAAAAATATTGCAGTAAACGTAATATTGAATGTGTATGCATCTTGTTAAAGGCTGCATAATTCTGACGAATTTAGTTTCTTTACGCTAAAAGTGCTCTTAATTCGGCCACCAATGACCAAATGATTAAGAATATAACACATGTAGTTAGACCTAGATTCGAAGTTGGCAAACGGACCGGCTGTATGGGTGTTTTTGTGGTTTTCTTCGTATGCATCGTTTCATTCCCAATTTCACTTGAAAAGTTCTCCACGAAGTCACCCCTTGCTTTAGGCAGATAATTTTCATGTGCTTTGCCGTATCGAATAACCTAACCAAGGTACTCTTAATCTTTTACAGATCGCTGATGCATATATATATGTGCCTAATCGATGCTCCAGCTGATGGTTGTATGCAGCTTGTATGTATGTGTGGAGTTTTATCTTAAAAGAAGGTTAACCCATATTCGAGTTTTCAAGCGCCAGGCCTTGTTTTTTGAATGAAAGATGCGTTTTTTTGTCACTAGAGATAAATAGGGTTTTTGCTTTGTATTGTGTTAGCTTTCAGAAACATTTTCTTTTCCTCGTTTTTGAGGAAGAAATATGAACAGGGCTGCTATTCCGGTATTTAAATTTTTTTCCGTTGTTCCATTTTGATTTATTTTTTATGCTCTTCCGTAAATTAGACTTGTGAAATGTTATGCAGCTGTCTTTGGTAAAAATTCCTTCCAGTTAAAATTGAGCAGTTCGTAGGTAAAACTCGGAGTTTAATGCCAATTCGAAATTCCTCAGCAGTCACCATAGCATTAGCATAACGAACAACATAAGATACCGGAGAAAAATATTCCAATTAAAAAAATACCTTAGGAAAGGAAGTTGACTTTCTTTTAGTCTTATATACAACAGAAGAGGAAAACACACACAATTTCTAAAAGCAACAAATGAAATTAAATTTTAAAAGAATTGACTGCAGGAATTACTGAACTGAATGTTAAATATTCTTTCTACACGATAAAAAATAATATTTGTATTACTGATATTTTAAAGCCGTTTACCTGCTTTCCGTGTGTTTCAAATTCAGTTCCTTTATTATATGTTCTTGAATAATCTAATGCTTGTGATCCAACAGCAGCCTAGGAATAAAGATAGTACATTTTTATATAAACATTTTCATAAAAATAGTTGGCATTCTTACATTTCTCTTGCCTATAAAGCTTTGTACTTCTAAAAATCGATAGTGGCCGAACGGTCGTTGAATATTGGTAATTCGCTCCGGGTTCGAATTCCAATGAATGGACTAGCTGCATGGGCGTTTTCGTGGTTTTCCTCTTGTGTAACATAGATATGAGCCAGATTCTCTTAGGAAATCCTTCGTGAAGATATCCCCTTTTCGCAGATAGCCCTCGTATGCTTTCCAATAATCAAATAAACCAAAACATTATTGATTTTCCCCTCTCCAATTTAATGCCGCTCAGTAATATTCCCTTGTGATTTGTCATTGTGTAATATTTTTAATTTTTAATTTTGTTTTATTTGGGATGTCGAAAGCAATTTCACACAATTATATGTTTTTAAGTGTAAAAAAAATCGTTAAAAATATTTTCATGAATTTTGTTACTTTAGGATCATAATGTGATAATAAGAAATTCATTGAACTAGAACTATTATTTACATTTAATTTATAAGAACAATGTTACGAACTGTCTACGTACCAATATTGAAGTCTGAGACTATTTTCTAGAACATGAAGTCGGAAAAATCTGTGAATAATATCTCATTTTGCGGGGGGGGGAAGAATTCATTTCTCATAATACGACAGTGTGCATAGCAATACTAGCGACTTAATTTATTGACGTCAGAAACTTTTTATAAACTGATATTTCATTTTTAATTACAGTAAACTCTCGATACAACGATACCCGATACAACAATAACTCCCTCTACTACAATAATGTTTTGTGGTCCCGGTGATTTTGCATATAAACTAATGTTAATTCCCCTCAATATTGCTATTTTATTTCTCTAGAACAATAAATCTCTGTAAAACGATTTTTTCAATCTAAATTTCAGTATTATTTTCTCCCTTTATAATAATTTTTGATTTTCAAATGCTTTCTTTTTCATTTCTTTTGTTATTTTTTCCGTCTATTAGACTCATTGTGGATATTCAACTTATCCCAGAATAAATAGCTATTGTTCAGATTTCAAAACAGATGAAGACCACCCTTTTGGAATTGGAGTGGTGAGTGGGGTGAAGTGTAAATGTTGCCTAGTCTCATTTCCCAGTAAGCTTTGGAATTCTGATAAGGTTTAAGGAATCTAGACCTGTCTGGTCACCTTGCACAGAACAAGTGCCCTTTGTTGAGGAAACAGAGGGAAATGGAGGCGGGGTGTTATTCAGTGACGTACTGAAAGTGAGTTCAAAGGTTGTTTTAGAGTCTTTAACGATTTTGAGTTCTACGCGAAACATTTGATTTAAACTTTTCTTTCTTCACGCGATAGTGTTCCCTAAGATGGCAGGGCGAAAGCAACTACTCTTTTCGAGATAAACTGAACGTTATTCAATGGTATTGATGAGGGAAATGAAGCAGATTGATGCGGCTAAGAAACATGATTATCGCAATCTACAGTTGCAACGTTTCCTAAAGAAGAGAAAGCAAATCGAAGATGCTTGTAACTTTCAACTGAAATTAACCCAGAGCGAAAACGACTGACAATTAAAAACATTGATTGCTGCTGTTTTTAAAATGGTTTCAAGAGATGAGAGAACAAATGTCCAATAAATGGACCGTTATTATGTGCAATGGAGCACGGAAATTGCAGCAATGCTAGGGGAACGAAACTTTCAAAGCTAGCAATGGTTGGTTAATGCGTTTTCGAGATCGTCATGGAATAAAATTTCCAAGAAGTTCACGGAGGAGAAAAAGTCAGTCCCGATAAACGACGCAAATGAATGGCGGCAAAACAAGATGAAAGAAATCTTAGAAAAGTATGCTCCAGAAGACATTTATAATGCAGATGAAGCTGGGCTGTTTTTCCAACTCCTACCGATCGAACATTGGCTTCAAGGTGAAAAGGGTTATGGAGGGAAGAAATCAAAGCAGAGATGACTGTTTCTGTGTACAAATAGCAAAGGAACGCATAGAATAAAACCTCTCGTCATTGGTAAATCATTGAAGCCAAGGTGCTTTAAGAACGTGAAAAAGTCTTCCCGTGGAGTATTAAAGCAAATAAGAAGGCTTGGATGACGTCTAAATTTTTTTCCGAATGGTTACAGAAGTTAGACAATTGAAATGAAGAAGAGAAAGAAAAAAATCGTTGTTTTGTGATAGATAAACTGCGGTGCTCACACGTCATTTCAAAAGCTACAAACTATCGAAATCGTTTTTTCCCTGCCAATTGCACTTCAATTTTACAGCCTCTTGATATGGGCAAATAAGTGCTTCAAAGGATATTACAGAAAACGGTTGGTGGACTCCATACTTGTAAACTTTGGAAATAAGTAGAAGACCCTTTCAAAGCGTAAATGTCAAGGAAGCGTGTGACATATTGCTGGAAGTTGGTGGGAAGTAACAGAAAAAACCATTCGGAATTGCTGGAAAAGGCCGGTCTTTGTGTTATGGAAGATAAGAAATCTGATAATGATAAAATTCCATAGACAATGATCTCTCAGATGATCAAGAATGTGTTTTGCACATCAAAAAAAATCCGTATCCAAACTTGAAACAAGCGGTAAAAGTTTGGAATTAGTATAGAAGACTATTTAACAGCAGATAATGATCTTATGGTTTTCGCAGGAGTTACTGATGAAGATATTCTCTCTGAAATTACTGATGAGATAGGAAACAATGATGAAGATGATGATGATATTGATGATGATGATAATACAGGTCCATCGCAGTCCTTATTGTCATCTCAGGAAGCTCTTCAATCTGTGAATTCTCTACGGACATTTTTTTCAAGCCTTCCGTCGACAAATGAAGAACATTTTCGTGCACTAGACTCAATGCATACAGTATTGGTGAACTTAACAGTTAAAAAAAATCAATAAACAAACAAAAATATTGGATTATTTTCAATAAAAAGTGTTTTCAGGTATGTGAATATTTCTGTGCTTATTTTCTGAATTTATCTTATTTATTTATTTTTTTAGTATTTAAACCACTATTATTAGTATTTTACAAATTTATTCCTTCTAAATATAGACTTAAAAGTAGTATGTTATGCACCTAAAACTAATAATAATAATAAAAAAAAACTCTTATTAAATGCTCAAAATGTGTGGGCCCTCGATATAACAATATGCCTCTCTACAACAATATATTTATTTGGTCCCTAAAATATTGTTGTGACGAGGTTTCACTGTATGTACAAATATAAGTATTTCGCTCTTAAATTTGCGTATGCCCCTTGAAGTTTCAGGAACCATGAACTTTGGTGGCTAATTTTAATCGCATGGGAGGCAAACTTTTGGTGTGTCATTATTTAGAATGTGTATCAATATTTATTAAATATAACTATAGGGACAGGGAAACGCAAAAGTTAGATATCGTAATTTTTAAAATTTAAATATGACGTCACATGAATGAATATTTGCGGCGTTAGAAATATTTTCATAGTTCGAATTACATGTTTAAGACCAACCATTGCAAAAATACGCACTGTATAAAGACTTTCATGGACGTAGTGTGTAGTTCATTTAAGAGTTACTTTTTACGATTACGCAGGCATTAATTAAAGCAAACAATCGAGAGTTCAATATAGTAATGTGATTTCACTTACAAACTTACTTTTAATTCTATGAATAGTTAAACATCATCCAGTCCTACATTTAATTCATGTAACGTATGTTCGTTCAAACCAGAAGTTATATAATAAAGCATGTGCAAAAAGATTAATACAGTGGAACCTCGAATATGAGTTTAATTGGTTCCAGCATTGAGCTCTTAGAGCGAATTTCTCGTATCTAGAAACAAACTTCCCATTGAAAATAATGAAAATCCAGTCGATCCGGTCCACCCCCCCCAAAAAAAAATATCAACACAGAAACAAATTTTCCTAATAAATAACACTGTTAAATAATATAACCGTAGTTCACCTTGAATGAAGAGTCCTGATTGGCGATAGGAATGTCGGGAAGACGAAACGGGTTACTGTGGTGAAGGAGAGTCTCTCTCTGATTCAGGAAGGTTCTCTCTTGAGAATTTTACCCTATTGGAAGGATCAGAATCACTAAACTTTCTTTTAATTGCAGGTTGTTTTACCAAAAGCTTATCTTGTAGAGACATTAGGTCTTTTTTTGGAAGCAAGAAACATGAAAAATTCGCAAAGCCTCCGCCAGGAACCGAACCGCGGACCTCTCAATTACGCGCTGAGTGGGCTGACCACTACACCACGAAGGCTTGCTAAGAAGGCGGGAGAAATAACTTATAATCTAATAACAGCTTTGCCTCCTTTTCAAGATGCCTTTTAAATGCGACACTACACTGTCATTACATAAGTTTATACACTGCTTTAATAGGGTGATTTTCTTCTAAGAAAGTTTTCACTTCTTTCTATTTTTCCAACCCTTTTTTAATCTTACTGAAGAGAGGGCCTCATCCCCTGTTCCCTTCTTTCCTAATGAAAGCTCTTCTACCACCTCTTGCTGCTGCTTCTTGTGAAGTTCTTTAAGTTTATTCGTTGTAATTTCTTCACTATGCTCCTCCACTAACTCATCCAGATCAGCACCATCCACATCCAGCCCCATACTTTTCCCGCAGTGATACAATTTCTTCAACTAGCTGCACTGTGTTGTCTATAGATTCAGGATCGAAACCTAAGTCAGGAATACTCTGAGTCCACATTTTTTCCCATGCTGAATTCAGGGTCCTCACAGAGACTTTTCCCAAGCCTTATCAATGAGGTTTAAACAATTTAGGATGTTGAAGTGATCCTTTTTAAATTCTCTGAGGGTCAGGCTTGTATTTTCAGCCACTTTGAAACAAGGTCTTCGTGCACAACTTCTTAAGGATAGAAATAACTTGCTGGTCCATAGGCTGGAGAAGTGGAGTGGTGGTGGGAGGAAGAAACTTGATTTTTATGAACTAAAATTCCTCCAACAAATTATTTTTAAGCTCTGCAGGATGTGCAGGAACATTATCAAGGACGAGCAAAGCTTTGAGTGGCAATTTATTTTCGTGAAGATATTTCTTCACCGAGGGACCAAAAAACTTCATTGATCCAATCGAGGAAAAATTTCCGTGTTGCTCAGGCTTTGTTGTTGGCCTGCCACATGACCATTCAGTTGGCTTTTCTGCCCCTTCTCTTGAAACACGCAGGTTTTTTGAGTGGTAGATATCCTCTTTTCGCAGATAGCCCTCGTATGCTTTGCAATAAGCAAATAAACCAAACCATTATTGATTTCCCCCCTTCAATTTAATGCCGCTCAGTAATATTCCCTTGTGATTTGTCATTGTGCAATATTTTTAATTTGTAATTTTGAGCAATGGCTTGATTTTACAATCTGCACTTGTGTTGGCGCAAAACAAGAGGATAAGCCTATCTTTCATTGGCTTGTGGCCAGACAAAGATTTCTCCTCTTGCGCAATATAGGTCCTCTTAGGCATTTTCTTCCAAAAAAGACCTGTTTCATCGTCACAATTAAACATTTTCTGGGGAAGAACCTTCTCATTAGTAATAAATTGTAGGATCCCTGGCCGAAATTTATGAGCAGCAGCTGTATCAGGGCTCGCAGCCTCCCCATGTCGCACAAAACTGTGAACATTGGTTCTCTTTTTAAATTTTTCGAATCATCCACGGCTTGCCTCAAATGTCATCTCATCTTCAGTCGACGTATCTGGTGTTTTACGGAGAATGTCGAAGTACAGATTCTTAGCCTTAGCGCAAATGATAGCTTCCGATACCTAATCGCCTTTTAAACGCTTCTTGTTAATCCACACCAACAACAGCTTCTCAACATTTTCTAGGAGTTTTGGACAGTGCTTGGAAGTACCGACGCACATAAAGCTGCTTAATTTCTTTCTTCTTCTTCAGAATATTGGCGATCGTGGATGTCGAACAACCGTAAGTCTTTGCCAATACCGTCACTCTTACACCACGCTTATGTTTATCTATGGTGTTTTTTTTCTTGATTTTAATAGCCATGGCTTCCCTCGTTTTCTTTGCAGCATTATCCAAGGCAACAATCTTCTTGGGAGGCATCCTTAAATAATTATTTTCACGTTAAATGTAAAAAACAATTAACTCACAAGAGGACAAACACGTAGATCAAAGAACACTGAATGATGTAACGAGGGTATTTTCCGAGTCGAGACGGCAAACTCGTCAGTCTGGTTCGTTGCTCGTTACATGAGTCAGTGCTCGTATTTAGAGACGAAGGTTTCGCTCATACTTTCCTCGAATTTCGAATTTCTCGTATATAGAGATGCACGTATCTTGAGGTTCCACTGTCCCGTATTTACTCGCGTATCCCCCCCCTTTAGCACAAGATTCTGAAAACTATTTAGTAATCGCATAATTCCCCTCCCTCAAGACGTTCAAAAAGCAAAATTTTCCAAATTTTAAAATAGATTTGTCAACATAGTGATTGTTCTTGTCTTACTAATAGGTTTGGCATTGAATTTTGGGTGAGTAGCCTCTTATTGTTGAAGAAATAATAGTGAACACCTTCAAGAAAACGGGGATGCTTAATGGTCATAATGTTTCTGAAAATAACTGCACGTTGAAAGACAAATTGAAGAGAGATGACGACGATGCATACTTCATTATTTAATTTCTTTAATACGGGACGATAACATTTGGTAGCAACAATTTGAAAAGAGATTCGCCGTTTATAATATAATGGACGACGCAGAATCCCGTTTGGAGACTAATTACCCATTCTGGCTAACATTCTTTTGGGCTAAAAGATTATTCCTAGAGCGCTTAGTTGAATATGAAGCCGTGCATTAAATTTGATAACCGTTTCAAACCTTTACATCAATTACCAACACGAACAGAAGATTACATTTCACGCTATTTATTTCATATTTTTTAGACAGAAATAAATTATAAATTAATTTATTTAATTATAAATTAATTTATTTAAAACCGTATGAGATAAAAAAAATAAAATGCATTACCTGCACTGTTGCTTTTGAGAGCCAAGAAGTAGAGACAAAAATGACTTCTCTTAAATTTAACGGTGAACATTGCATTGCAACTACTGTGGTCACAACTCGGATAAATATTCCCAAGAGAAGGCTTAATATTCCATAACCTGCAATAAAAAATTTACAGAATTTTAGGAAAAATTTATTTTTGCAACATTAATACCTAATTATATGTGGAAGAACTAAAATTCCAGTTAAAAAAATTAGTATACCTAGATCAGTTTGTAAGCTTTCTATTGTGACTTCGGCTCCTATAAGTCCGAATAAAAATGGCTCAATGAGAAACCAAAATATTCCAGTGATCCAGGTTATATTTTTCTAAAATCAAATGTATAAAAATATATACAATAGCAAAAACCAATCAGTCAAATAACATCTAAATAATATCTGTCATAGATAGCTAACATAAAGTGAATACAGCAAAAATCCAATTACCTGGCTGGGCATTTCTGGATTATCTGACCTTACTGTAGGTAACTTCGTAAACATGATTTAGAATATTATAAAAACGAAAAATTTTAAACAAAATTGTAGATGCATTATTCCTACAAATGTGTTTAGTACAACTGAAAGCACATTATAAATAAACAATGTGCATAATTAAACACTCTTAACTAATTTTTATCTGGAATTAATTTAGAGCATCGTTATTACATAGAGAAGGGGTTCTTAACTTTTGACTAACGGGTATCATCTAAACAAAAACTGAAAATCTTTAGTACCACCACTACATTTCACAATGATTATTTTTCAATTTTTCAGTTGAAATATACAGGGAATACCTATGGGAAGCAATTTTTCAAGTGAATTCTGTGAATTATTCCGTTTTACAAAAGAAGAATTGACTTTTATACGTTCGCTCAATAATGAAGATCATAAATATTACCAACACATCTTTCGCTATATTGATGATGAAATAGCCTTCAACAAGATAGAAAATGCTAATATCTTCAAGCCTAATACTTCAAGCCTAATACTTACTACTACAAATACAGTGCAACATGATATTGTCTACCTTGATTTGCATATTATAGATTATAATTTTTTGAAAATCTATGATAAACGAAGAGAATTCAACAATAATTTTACTTAAATTAACCAACTGGAATCCCAATATTTCAAAGAGTCGTCCTCGATACAAATTACTCACAGCTGCTTAGAATTAAAACAATCTGCAATACAACAAAACACCTTCAAGAAGAAGTACTATACCTTGTAAGAATTTTGAAAAATAACCTAATTCCTATAAAAGTAATTAAAAATACGTTAAAAAAGCTGGCATTTCGACTTTAATTAACAAATAGCTATTTTTCATTATTTCTGCTTATTTTGTGGTCATTTTGATAACATTTTGTTGAATTAGCCATTTTTTCTTTCACTGAGCCCAAATTTCTTCAAACTACTAAAGCAAGACGCTATCTCGAACCATTTTAGCATATTTCGACACATTGACCCCCCCCCTTGCACTGAGTCACGATTTTGCCAACGGTCAGTCACTTTTCATTGGCTCTTTCCTAGTGACTTTTTTCTCCTTTTTACATTATCCTGCCTTGTTGGTTAGCAGCGTGCTTGCTCGGGTCTGACACCCCCTTTTTGAGTTTAATCTTTTAAAGATGAAGACGGCATCTCTCCAGGTCTGGTTTTTAACAATATTTTTTCTCTTGTAAAAATTTTTAGTCTTGCAAGACCCTTGCTTCAATTCCTCTGTTTTATTATTATTTAAATTTTAAATTTAATTTTTGGTAATTTTACAAAGTATTGACTCTTTAAGCTAGTAGGTCCTCCCATAAAATCTGGTATATTTTGACTAATAACAAATCGCTTTTTATTTTATTTTGTACATCGGCATTACCATTCCATTATCTATTGTCTTTATTACACCTTAATGTGTTTCTTCAAGCGGACGAGTCGGGAAATTGGAACAGAGAATTGAGACTAAAGATATTGACAAAGTTTATTTAATTAATTAAAAAATGTGTCGCGTAGAGTTTCAATTGTCTGTTTCGGCGAAACGCGATATGGAGTTAGCTTGATTCGAAATTCATTAAAAATAATTTTCCCTGACGAGCCATAATGAGATTCGAATTAGGCTAATCTGCCATTTACCGCTTCTTAGTTGTTATATTTTTGCTCAAATAATTTGTTAGTACTTTTACTAATGTTTTAAATATACCGTAATTAGATTAGCATATTGCTTACTATTAGTATTGATTTTTACTTGTAAATATTCAAATGTTGTATTTTTCCCTCTTATAACAAATTTCGTTGCAATTTATTTTGCTTATGTTAATGTTTTCACGGAACCACAGTATTTCAGCAGCTTTTTAGCGTACGAACTAGGATTTTTCATTTAAATTTTTCTAAATTTTGCAGCACAATGCGCAAAGTTTTTGACCACATAGGTCTTTCATCATTTGTTCTTTTTACTTTACTTTAAATTGTATATATATAGGTGTAAAATATAAAAAACACGATGGCCTTGCTCTATGCAAACAAGCAACCTCTAATTTAACTTTCTGCAATTTCAGGATCTTCCCCCTGGACCAGTACTTTCGAGAACATTCGAGTCTATTACGTAACCGCTCCTATAAATAGGGAACTCGCGCCATTTTGCGAGGATAACCGCTTTCTGCCTTTACTGCTTTTAGGATCTATGCTGCTGCTCTCATCTGCCTCCCTTTGTTAGAATATTATGACGCAGTGAATTTATTCTTATTTAGTAAAGAATGATGATATGCTTTTTGAACTGAATAAAGATATGGAGCTATAAATTTAAATCCTTCTGTGTCATTATTACTATACTGCCAAGCTTCACTTTTGTGCCCGACTGCCAAATGGCAACTTTTTCTTTCAAGCCTATCGAATTAATTTCCACTTTTCGTTGCCCTGTGTTGCAACACGCTTTTGAGATTTGTCGTTCATAGAGTTCGGTCGCTAAAAGCGTAGCTGACCTGTAACTGTTGTAATTCTTATTCTAAAGCTTATCTGTATTGCTGAATTATTACTAAATGTTTACGTATGAATGTTTTATTATTAAATGTATTCAGTTTGGTTTAAATAGACCGAGAGTGTTTGAATTTATTAAGGATATTTAAAATCGAAACTACATCATCCATTTCGGCACGATTCTAATACGAGGAACGTAAACAATTTTTGGAGGCACGGCGGCGAGATTGGGAATTCGTCAGCAGATCAAGTACAGTTAAGTGCTTTTTATTTCGATTTACATCTGAATTTGATTCTGGAAGTTATATATACTTTGTATTGATTTTCATTTTGAACTTGAATACTTTGATTACTTATCATGGATCAACCTACTGTAATTGGATTGCGTGGTAGGGCAAAAGCAGCCTTCACAAAGGCATTCAGAATAGTATTACTTCCGATTTATCTCAAAATGTAAAAGTAATTTTGCATCTGGAGCGCTTGGAAAGGATTTATTCAGATTTTGATAAATTTGATGCCCAATTACCAGAAGAGCAATCAGAAATTGCAAAGATTTTGAATTCGAAGGTAATTTTAGTTTGAAACTTCAGTAATCAAAACTTGAATGTGGATGAATGTGAAGATTCATTGAATGTGGCTAATGTGCCAAATGTTTCAGGAAAATTCTAATATTAGTAACTTTAAGTTAGCTGAAGTTGAATATTCCTATTTTTTTTCGGGTAACTTTAAATGACTGGATGAATTTTAAAAGATTTATTTGTTAGCAACAGTGCATAATACTTCTTTATCGAATACTCAGAAATTTCAATACTTCATCTGGATCACTTGCTGATGAACTAGCTTCTATAATTAAACATATTCCTGTTATCAACATAATTCTTATGACAGAAGAAGCATGGGCAAAACTGCTCGTTAGGTACTGATAACAAGAAATAAATAGTGCAATCGTTAATTAAAACATTTCTGGATCAAAAATGTATTTCACAGGTTGATAATGTTAATTTTCGGCAATTAGCTGATACTTCAGATGAAGTTATCAGAGGTTTAAAAGCTCTAGGTGACAAAGCAACTTCTAGGGATCCATGGTTAATATTTATGTTTCTTTAAAAGGTAGATTCAGAAACTTGAAGGTTATGGGCACAGAAAACAGCGGAAGATGATTTTCCTACATTAGAATCATTTTTTGAATTTTTAAATTTAAGGTGTTCTTCTCTCGAAATTATCATAAATAAAGAAGCAGAAGCTAAAGTCGTTCATAAAAATAGTAATGTTAGTTCTAAAACGTTACAGAATCCTAAATTTAGTACTACTAAATGTTCGAAATGTAACGGACTTCATGCTTTATATAAATGCGTTAAATTTAAGAATTTGGATGTTACTGCTAGAAAGAACTTTGTGAGAAAACAAGGATTGTGTTTCTTATGTTTAAATTCACATCTTATCAAAAACTGTAATTCATAGTTAAAGTGTAATTTATGTAATTAAAAAACGCATAATAGTTTGTTGCATGAAGATATTAAAGCTAACATCGTACAGCTTTTAACAGCGCCAAATGAAAGCGAAAGCACTCCAGAGAGAATTTCGAATGAATCAACCAGGGTCAAGGTCAGGTAGTTGTCAGTAATACGATTCAAAATTGCAATTCTGAAATTTTGCCTACGGTTCTCGACCTCGCATTTTCGTCCAGTGGCGAAACTATCGAAATTAAATTATTACTGGATTCCGGAAGCGAAAGTTCGTTTATTTCTGAACAAGCTGTTCGAAGATTAGGATTAAAAAGAATGAATCAAAGGTTACTTTTGCGTGGAATTGGTGGAATGCCAGCTTCCAAGACTCGCGGCTCTGTTGGTTTTAAAGTTCGGTCAAAGTTAAATAATGAAATAATTGATGTTAACGCATACATTTTGGATAGGTTGCCATTGCCGGAACAAGTCATTAATGTTAAGCATATAGAATATATTAAATCTATTCCGTTAGCGGATCCGAATTTTGCTCAACCCAAAGAAATTGATTTGATTTTAGGAGCTGATTATTTTTTCTCCGTTATAAGATGTGGCCAAATATATGGTTCGAAAATTGAGCCTGTAGCTCAAAATACAATTTTCGGTTGGGTGCTTGTTGGGAAGGTCGGAAATAATATGGAAGGTCCCAAAACAGCAAATTCACACTTCAAAAAGTTAGAACATAATATAAATATTGATTAAGAACTTAAGCGTTTCTGGGAAATGGAGGATATTGCCGATGTTGGGAAGAAGGAATTTCTAACACCTGAGGAACAATTTTGTGAATTACATTTTTGAAACACTCATGCTGTTAATTCAGATGGGCGATTTGTTGTAAAACTTCCATTTTATAAATCCCATTTGAAGTTGGGTGATTCAAAACCGGCAGCAATTTCT